TTTTTTTTTTTTACTTATAAAAGTGGTCAGCACGGAGTAAGGCGGAAGGTATGAAAAGTTGCGTGTTACATAGATTCACATTGCCTCTCTTACACTATATATATAATATAATAATATAAGCAAATGAGTTGATTTGAAAAGGCGTGCCATAGCGTATGAAAATGGAGAACAGAAAAGTACAAAAAAATTTGAATAATCCTCCGTGCACGGAAACCACACTATATATAATTTTTTTTAATTCTTTTCTCTTCAATTTTTTTAACCTACAAATAACTTTTTCGTTAAAATTGAAAAATTAAGTTTTATTTGGAAGATAAAAGAATTAAAAAGAAAAAAATAATTGGTTTTTTTAAGAAAAAAACGCATTTTTAACACATACGTTTAATTTCCATTTAACTATTTTCAATATTTATTTAGATCATCTGATATCTCTACGATATAGTTCTCAAAATGAGTTTCGAGAGAATGTAAAACATTTATCGATTTGACTATCGTACAATCGTCGACGAATTTTTAAAGTTAGCTTGTTATCGAAAATTTCGAAATTGTAATAAAATAATTGATTTTTTTTAAGAAAAAGGACATGTGCGTATTTTTTTAACACATAAGTTTAATGTCCGTTTAACTATTTTTGATATCTATTTAGATCATTCGATGTCTCTAAGATATAGTTCTCAAAATGAGTTTCGAGAGAATGTAAAACATTTATCGATTAGACTATCGTACAATCGTCGATGAATTTTTAAAGTTAGCTTGTAATAGAAAATTTCAAAATATAGTTTGAAAATGCCTACTTTGACGTCCCATAACATTTGCTATGATTGACCGTTTTACGCACCGTTAACGACGTGCAATACTATGCTACGAGTACTTTAAAACGATATTAAGAATGTAATATTTCGATTTCGTTTGATATCTCGTAATGAGCGTGAAAATAAACTCAAAAATATAAGTAAAAAAAAAATTAAAAAAAAATCATTTCTCTCATGGTCTCTGTGCACGGAGACCTCACGATCCTCTTATTTTTTTTCTTTTTTAAATAAAAATCAATACTTCTTTATACTATATAAACTAACTACAATGATATATATATATATATATATATATATATATTTTTTTTTTTTTTTTTT